AGAACAAATTATTCAAAACTTTCTTACTTAAATTTAGAGACCCGATATTTTCTGATTTATTTTTAATATATAAATTCAATATTTAAAGGCTATATATTCTTGATCGGCATCACGAGCATCAAGCCATGACTGTCCTTAAGTCTGCACGTCCGTTTCTGCGCAGTTTTTCAGCTCTATATGACTGTATTTTTGAAGGTATTTTTGCATCGCAGCAATAAATCGAAACAATTTTTTAAAATATTCTTCGATAAGTTATGGTTTTTTACAAATGTTGAATTGAGAATTTAATTTTATAATATTCGGACGACTATATCATATAACTGATATAGGAACAATTGTAGAATGTATCGGAAAATCTATCTGGATTCATTGTTTTAAGGTAATTACACATAATACTCGACTTACAAAAATTATTTTTTTATAATAGTTGCAGATCCATTTGCCGTTTTCAACAGAACTACATAATTACTGATAACGGTATTTATTTGAGATTTCAACACATAATGTATATAAACTATAAAGCAGAAAATTCAATTAAATAGCGTAATTTCTAGTTAATCTACTATTGAACTCAATGGAGTAGCCGCGTGAGTTTAATCCTTTCAATCTTATTGTAAATTATTATGTTACAATTCTTCATGCTTTAATTTGCTTTTCGCACAACGTGCTCTTTGCCGAAATTATAGTAAGCTCTGTAAAATCTTATTGTACTTAAAAACTTGCTAACTTACCTTTGGTTCAAGTTTTAAAGCTTCTTAGTGTAACAAATAATATTTATGCTAATTTGGGCACAACCGTTCAGCTAATTGTCATACCACATATTTTTGTAAAAGGAATATTTTGATGTATTGAGTTAAGGCATTCGTACTTTAGCTATCTTTTTCACATAAACTTAAAAGGGAAGTATATTTGCCATTCATTACATTTCACGTTCCCAATAGCATCACTTTATTTTTTATTATAATTAATAACAACTTTAGTTGTTTTCCTTTACGAATAACTTTTTTGTTTTAATTTTGTGAATGAAATTGAAAATAGATAAAACAGAATTCGCGTATTCATATTTTTTGTAAAATTTAACTACTTTAATTTAGCGTACTTCATAGTAAACACGTAATCGTAAACAATTTCATTATTGAATGCATATAATGAATTTTTTTTATGAGCAGTCTATTCGTAACTAAAGAGCTTAGTGTTCGGGGACAACTAAACATTTGGTATTCAGAGGCACGTTCTCTTGTGTGTATGTGTAGATTCAAAAAACTGAATAAAGAAAGGTGAAGTTTTAATTTTTCACTGAATCAAAGTTAATTAACTATTGTTTATGATCATAAATAATAATTTTTAAATTTAACAAATTTTTATACTAATTATACGGCAACTGTTTGATAAGGGATTGCACTTTTCTCTTATTTTAAGAGTATTATTTCTGACGCTCTTTTTGTAATGGGGTGGATTTTATTTTTACATGTGCGTGTGTATACAAAAATACACAATCACGAAATTTTCGTAAGTTACCAATTCAAAGTATTAAATCTTGTTTAATTTTATGTTATGGCAAACAAATTAAGATTTATTTGAATAATATTGATTAAAATAAAACAATTGAAAGCCTTTATGCTTTTGATTAAAATATTTATTTTAGTTCATATACATAGATACAAATCGTAGAGTGATTATGATGCTGTACGCATGGAAAAAAGTAGAACAATACCAGATTAATATTGTTGTTCTCATTTTTTACCTGTTTCTAAATCAAAACCTTACGAAAAAATCTTGTTCATATCAATAAAATATACCAATATAGAAAATGCAAATTTTTTATACATTTTTTTAGTGATGGTATGATTACACGAAACATTTTTATGATTTATGTGTTATATATCAGGTAGAAATATATTCGAAAACAATAGAGTGGCTGCAAATCATTATTTGTTTGCATTTATTTTTTATACTATGGTCCTCGACAAGGGTATTACAATTTTAATGTACAAATTTAAAAGACATTATCAATCTGGTTCAAATTTTTGTTTCTCTGTTAAAGGGGGTTTAGTATTTAAATTTTTATACCCGTTACTCGTAGAGTAAAAGGGTATATTGTATTCGTGCAAAAGTATGTAACAGGTAAAAGGAAGCGTTTCCGACCCTATAAAGTATATATATTCTTGTTCAGGATCACTAGCCGAGTCGATCTAGCCATGTCCGTCTGTCCGTCTGTCCGTCTGTCCATCTGTCTGTCCGTCCGTATGAACGCTGAGATCTCGGAAACTATAAAAGCTAGAAGATTACGCAGCGCAAGTTTGTTTCAAAATGGTGCCACGCCCCCTCTGACGCCCACAAGCCACAAGCTGTGGCCACAGTTTTGATGCTATTATGAAAATTTTAATTGATATGTATTTGTTTCGTCAATACCTATCGATTGGCCTTATAAAAGTTTGCCACGCCCACTCTAACGCCCAAAAACTCATTAAACGCTTAAGCCTGGCTAGCGCCTACATTTCCGCCTTTCATGGCGCCATCTAACGGATGACTTTGGAACAGCTGGCCAAGGTGCTCAACAGAGTCAACGTTAATTCTCGATAAGGATTTCTATTAAAGGAAATTGTGATGGTTTTCATTTTAAAAAAAAATAAAATAAAAAATAAAAAAAAAAAAAAATAAATTTGTAAATTAAGTTTAAAGTGTTTTTTTATTTTGGGGGGGGGAAGGTTGGGGGGGTAAAAAAAGCTGGGGGTTTTTGTGGTGGTTTTATGGTTTTAAGGCCGTATGTTTTATATTTTTTAATTTAAATTTTTAATTTTTTTTTTTTTTCTTTTTTTTGGTGTCTCCAATTTAATTTATATTAATTCAAAATCTAAAAGTTGTTTAGTGGGTAACGGGTATCTAATAGTCGAGGCACTTGACTATAGCGTTCTCTCTGTTTTTTTTGCATTTCTTTTTTATTTTTTTTCCGAAGATATAGGCAGTTGAACACAGGTAAGTGAGCCCGTTTTATATTTAATGCCTTTACTTTCCGCCAAATACTGCCAGTAATTCCAAGATCTACGGCTGCCGACGAAATAAACGCTTGCCTCAAATCGTCGAATCTATGGCGCCATGTGAAGAAACTGCAACTGACAACAAACATGAGAGTTACATTGCTTAATGATACATCTGCTGAAGATTTCTCGGAGCAATTGCTGACTATCGGTAATGGTCAAGTACCTGTCGATGAATTGAGCGGATTAATATCATTTCAAATTTTGTCTCATCGAAAGACGAACTTATCAACAATGTATTTCCGGAAATTATTTCTAACTACAAAAATAATGAATGGTTGAGTGAGAGTGCAATTTTAGCGGCTAAGAATAAAGATGACCTAAACTACATAATTCAAAATAAGATCATTGGAATAATGCATTCATTCAAATCTATTGACAGCGTCACAAATGAAGATGAAGCCACCAACTATCCAATTGAATTTTTAAACTCTTTGGACGTGCCTGGCTTACCACCGCACAATTTACGCCTAAAGGTTGGCTCCGTAGTAATCATGCTTCGAAACATAAACCAACCAAAACTGTGTAACGGTACGCGTTTGGTGGTTAGAAAATTGATGAACAATGTAATTTACGCTACGATAATGATAGGAAAATTCAAAGGTGAGGAAGTTCTCATTCCGAGGATAACGATGATCCCAACCGATATGCCGTTTGAATTTAAAAGACTTGAATTTCCGATACGTCTTGCATTTGCCTTGACCATCAACAAATCACAAGGCCAATCCTTAAAAGTTTGTGGTTTAAATCTAGAACATTCATGTTTTTCCCATGGTCAATTATACGTGGCATGTTCCGGGATCGGAAGACCATCTGCGTTGTTTGTTTTTGCGCCTGATAATAAAACAAAAAATGTCGTGTATCACAAGGTACTTAAATGAAGAGCAACCTATGTACTAAAATACAGAAATAATTATGAATGATTAATATACATACGTATTTAATTTTTAAATACATACATACATTAGCTCTTATTCTGTCACGGTGCGCCTACGCGCAAATTATTGGATGTATTTGTATGTAATTTATACTGCTTTTATATATAATGTCTGTCAAGTTTGTAATATTTTTGAACTTTTAAAAAAAAATTAAACAACGAAGGAAGCAAACTTCTTCTTATATATATGCATAATGATAATACTTACAAGCGAAAGTAGTTATCTACACGTATTTCACAAAGTCCAAAGAGTCTATTGCAGCTACTGCAAGATCGGAACAAACTAATGATTGTGGCGACGAATTAGATGACTTGCTAAATATCTTATAAATAACAAAATTAAAAAAGATTGAAAACAAAAAAAAAATTGTTTACGCTTTTTTTGCGCTTTTTTCTGATTATTTTCAGCTTTTTATACCCTAGGGTATTATAATTTTGGTCAAAAGTGTGCAACGCTGTGAAGGAGACATCTCCGAACCTATAGAGTATATATATTCTTGATCAGGATCGCGTCCTGCGTTGATATAAGCATGTCCGTCTGTCTGTTTACTAGATTTGTTAGAATGATATTTCTATTTTTTCTTTGAAAAGAATAAAAGTTTTCGTAGATGGGAAATCTGATTCTTCGATGCTTATCTGATTACATAAACAATTAACAGTGTCTATAGAATCTATGGTGTAAGATAGAAAATCTTCGCTATGAATGGTAGTAATTTCAGATTCGGAGTTGTCTCGTAAAGAAATCGCATTCTGTCGTCAGAGGGCATCAACGATAATATTTTGTATGCCTGGTTTGTAGAAATAACAAATATGCAGCGTTTTATTAAGGCATTCGTATTTTTTCGGATACTGCATATGTAAAAGGGCGAGAGACGGAGCGAAAAGCTAGAAAAAAGGTTTGGCTCCTCCTTGTGCCACTTTGTCCTCTGCAGCAGGCTGGAGATGTACCTCCGGGACCATCGCTGCCAAAACCTGTGCTTAAGCGACAAGACAACCCACCATCGACGCAAGCTGGTCAGGTTGATTTAGACCGGGAGTGCTTCCGACGGTGGGGTCAACAGGCGGCCACCGATGAGCAGATGTCCGGGGGTCTGGGCTTCGCTGTCGTTTCGGTCGTTGCTGAGGGTTCCTAGGGGTCTGGAGTTCAGCACGGCCTCCACGCTGGTGAGGAGAGTTCCGAGATCCTCCGCGGTCAAGAGGCCTTGGCCGACCGTGCGAAGGGACAGGTGCTTTGCAGACTTCACACCTGCCTCCCAAAGTCCGCCGCAGTGCGGTGCTCTAGGCGGTATGAACGCAAACTCGCATCCTTTTCTTGCTGCGTATGTTTGTATACCGTCCTCTAGATGTGCTCTGAACTCCCTCATGTGTCGGTCGGCGCCGACGTTGGCGACGTTGTCGCACCACACTTTTTCCGGTATCCCGCGACGACTCACGAACCTTTGAAAAGCCAACAGAAAATCATCAGTGGTTAGGTCAGACATTAGCTCCAAGTGGACCGCTTTGGAGGAAAAATGGACGAACAAGGGCACGTACGACTTTTACGGTGGCTTATTACGGATACGATATGTTGTGCTAAAGAGGCCACAAAATTCAACGCTCGAGGGCCTGAGACGCTTCTTGAATGGTTGAGCCTACCACATTGCCACTTGCAAAACCTGGAAGCTTCGTCTCGAAGGCCTTTCTTTTACAACAATCTTTCTTATAAATAAGTTGCTTGCGCCATCCCTCCTAGCCGCATAAAACATCTGATCGCCGAAAAGGGTGCTGGCGAAGTTTCATATGTTACGGTATTTAACTTAAAGATTTTCAGAGATTCAGAAGGATCTCGTCTTCATACTATGAGCCGAAAGTTTCGGGCAGATTAGTCCACCATTACTTGGCGATACATTTTTTTTATGTCTGCCGGAAGGGCAAACTTATGCAATCTAAGCCGAAGCAGCGTCGAGTACAGCTCATTTTGAATGGTTGGGCCTACCATCAAGATGTCATTCAACGATACCTCCGTTGATGTAGGGCACGATGCATTGAAAACTTCTCTCAACTTGGTTGAAGTACTTTGTGGCCGTAGAACGCACTGGTGCGGAATGAAATAGTGCGGAGTGCTTGGAATTTTGTCATTGGTGGAAGACATGTTGACAATTTCCTTTCTAGCGGCAAAAATCTACGTTTTGCAACTTCGTATGATGAGCCAAGAGAATTTGGCTCAGATTTGAACGGCAAACGAACCGAAAATTATTAAAAGAGTTGTTCACAAAGTTGGTGCTCAGGATGGACTTTAGCCTTGGGCGACAAATCCTCCACAGACCAAAATTTCTGCAGGGTTGTGTCAATTGACTCCAACGCTTTCTCCTGGCAGCTGAGATGTATCATTTTGTCAGCCTTTTTTTGTCTTAAGAGGCACATCTCCCAGACCCTATCCACCCGAGAACTGTTTTCTGTAGAATGGGAAGCTCAGGCCCCTGTTTTATCTGGCCAACAGATAAAAGTTCAAAGCACGTATCTGCACTGATAAACATGTCTAGCTGGTATTCACTACTTGATCCATATGATAGCCAGAAAATCGGACGACAACTGGCTATTCCCTACTTACGACTTCACAACCGTGTGTATTTTTTTTTTTGTAGTTTGGGCATAAGTCCCACCAACATCCTCTCTTGAAATTTTAAGTCTCTGAGCGAGCTCATCGGACACAAAGTTTAATTTTTTTATTAACCTTGCGACTTTTTGCTTGAACGCTCACAATAGCAGTTGCAAAAATGACTCTATCCGATGCAGTCCCATGCAAAACATGCGAAGCGGATGGAATCTACTGTATGAGCGTGGGCTGAGAAGGGGGTGGCAACGCGAGATTAGTGTTTGAGGAATATATATGCAGCAACGTATAGTGTCACGAATTGCACGCTTTTCATCTCTTCGATTTGCATTTTGTGACAGTGTGTCCCTTTCGAAGGCAGTTAATGCACAAGGGTGCTCCTTTAGCGAAATCGAATCTTTGCTGAACTGTTAGAGCTCCAACGAAGCGCAGTTTCCAATTTGATGTTCAGCTGAGTTGCAATACACGCATTTTACCGGGTCGTTCGACAAACGAAAAACTCCTATTTCCATTTTTCTTAGGATTAGATTGGACTTGCTTAACAGTTTTGGGCTTGTATGCTTCTTCCGCTTCCATGTGTTGGTAACGCCTGTTTAATGTAGTCTCACATTTGCTCCAAAGAGGAAGCGCAGTACAGTCTAATTGTTCTTCCCATTTTCTTTTAGTTCCTGAATTAACCTTGCTCATTACCAGATGTATTAAAATAGCATTAGTAACGCGTCTATCATCCCCAATAGAAAGCAAGGAGTCTTAAAGGAATATGACTGTGTCAATGAGGGTTCTCAAGGCTGTAGCTGACGACTGGGTTATTTTTTGCAAATTAAAAAGTGTCGATATCGTACACCCTCTTCAGGATAGCAAGCGTCTCCAGCTAAACACGAAATTAAATGATTAAATTTCTCAGTATCGTGTAGCGTATCATCTTTGTGAACAATAGTTTCAAAAAGGCTTATACAATTTTTAAATTCGGAGTGCTTTCCGCTAAGTGGCGATACGTTTGGTTTATACTTTTTATGCAAATATCTCGTTTTTGTTTAAGCTCTTTGATATCCTTAGTTGCCATTGCGTTTATTTATTTACCCGCCCAACCGAGCGAGGCGCGCAGCCCTGTATCGTACGGCTCGATTCGCGAGAAGATAGACGCGGGATAAGAAAAAAAAAGTCTGGGGATAAAAGTAAAAGTAAGATCAATTTTGTGGCAATGAAGCTAGTATTAATGGTTTTAGTCAGAACATATAGTTAGATCTACGTTTCCGACCCTATAAAGTATATATATTCTTGTTCAGGATCACTAGCCGAGTCGATCTAGCCATGTCCGTCTGTCCGTCTGTCTGGCCGTCTGTCCGTCT